TTCGAAAAAGTAGGTTCTCACCTGTTCCAGTTCCTGCCACGAGGTGGCGACAACACTCATTCAGTCTTGCAGCTGAGGTCTCTGCGGGCCAATTGCTGTAGTTTAATGTCTGATTTTATTGGTATGTTGGTTCTATTTCCAACATTACTGAAAGGGGGGGGGGACACCTATTGTTTGTATTTATTTACTAGATGATAACGCATTTCATGTAATTAAATACATTTGGCGACACTTTGATCATCATCATTATCATCGTTGTTATAATTATTGTTGCTACTACAGTAAATAGAAATGTAGCGTTTGGGCGCCCCGCACATCATCGTGTTTGATGGTTTTCTGTAGTGGCAGAATGACCTCACAATGCTGTCGTGCTCGGTAATGGTAACTATAGTGATACAGGCCTAATCAAAACACTTTAAAAAGAATCCCTTTAATGTGTAAACAGTGAGGAAAATGTGGTAGCCCATGGATTATAATAATTTCTAAGTACAGGTGATGCTCACAACGAAGGTAGGAGAAACAGATGCAAACACAATTCAAAAGTTTGCCTTCGCATGAAAGTGACAGACGAGTTATGTCCTCATACATATACAACTGTATTAGACCGTGTTATATTATATCCCCAAAAAGATATGTTCTCTGTTTGGGCGACTAGAAAATGGGATATTTACAGTAGGCATCCGATAGTGGTCAGCTGTCCCAGGTTCACTCCAGATGTTTATTGGGATTTAACGACGTTCGCTCAAGAATAGTGTTTACAGAGAGCTCATATCCAGCTTGTTAAACACGGGTCTGACTTATTTAATGTGTAAAAGGTGGAATTATTTAAGTCTCAAAACGGTTCTGCCCCTTCAGCGAATGTGAACAGGTGCTAATGCATATTCGCACCCAAGGTGCGATATGTGTGCGCTCTTCATACAGTCTGTAAACCCGGAACGTGTTCGCGGTTGTGCGTGTTCGTAAGAGTGTAAACCGTGCAATCATCCTCACTCAGCTTGTCCTGATCAGAACCAAGAAGCTGCATGTCGAGTCGTGGGAGAATGTTGCAATATACTGCTGTACCGTGGCGGTTAGCTTCAGCCGAATTTCTCCAGAAACGGAAGTGAACGCCCTTCCTCTGGCTCGCGGTGCGCGAAGATTCATTAGTGTTAAACAACTTACCTTTTACACGCATCCTGTGCAAATGTGAAAATACACAGCTAATACCTGTTGTTTTTTTTTTACTTAAAACCACAAAAGATAAACTACACGCAGTAACACAGAAGTGCTGTAGTACTGACACTTTTGCAGACGTCAATAAAATACGAGCTGAAGTCAAAATATATTTATTCAATGCGGTTAATTTTTATGGCTGCTGTTTTTGCGTAGCTCTCGTTTATTTTGTATGCCCTGCGAGGCCAACCAAACAGAATGGGGGAAAAAAAGTTTTGTAAATAGGGACTAGTGTTCCTCAAAGTAGCTCGGAGATCCACCGGCAAGCTGCAACGTTACTGGGGAGAAAAGCAGTAGGTACAGATGAACACGCCCTAGTCTTTTATAGCTATATCCTAGTAACTAATCCCCTTAAGGGAGGGTATGTAGTACTGGTCTATTTTATTTTCAACGGAGCTGAGCTGTTCACAGCCCAGAGCCAGTAATGTACGACTTAAATGGGTCTGTTTCACACCTTGTCTATTTTTATAACGGCCGGTAATATAAAGTGGTCTGTTCACAACTGCTGAATCAGAACCAGTGCACGACACCCCTGCCAATGTCTCACTTTGTGCAGCAGAATTTTTTTTTCTTATCCTGTGAGAAATCCCAGTACAAAACAGAATGCAGATGTAATATTAGCCCTCTGTAGTCACTGCTAATGAAGTCTTACACCACTGCGTGTGTGGGTTTATTCAATTTAGTGTTTTAATGATGATAAGAGCAGGTGGAGACTGAATCATGTTTTAATGATGGTCTTTTCTGTACAGTATCTCTCCATGCATGTATTGCTTTAGAGGTAGTTCTATTCTGTGTGGTACTGTCACAGATGTTCTGATTTCTCCACTAACCACAAAAACATTTTGCAATACCTGTGGCATGCTGTTGTGAGCCATACTAAAAACAGCTATTTTCATTCTCTACATGATTCCCATTTTGCAGCCTCTTAGTTGTCCCTACCGTTAGGTCTTCCTGTACGGTGGCCCTGAGGTGCCAAGTGAAACAGAGGATAGTGTTTCTAGGAAGGGGGTCTTTCATAGATGAGAGGTGTATGTATACCATAATATACAATACTGTGTGAAGTGTCATGCACAGTTTCTAGGAGACACCATTCTCACACACAATTAAGAGACACCAGTTATCCTAGGCAGCATGTCTGTGGGAGGAAACTGGAGAATCTGTGGGAAGCTCACATGAGCAGGGAGAGAACATGCAAAGTCCATTCAGAATGTGCCCCAGGCTGAAATCGAACCCATCGTCAAAGAGCTGCAAGGTATGGGGGCATTTCTGACCAGCAGCGTAGCATGGCCAAAACACTTGAGTGTGCACTCAAGACATCACCTAAAATGTTCCATTTGCCTTCCCAGAACAGCCAACACAACAGCAGAATTACTGCCCAGAAGGACTGGTGTTGGGGTTGCAGAATGGCATTAACATCCATCAGCAGATAATGGAAACTGATTAGGGAAGGGCAAATGATTCTCCTTGCCTCTGAGGAGTCAAGTCCCAGTGATCTGTGGTTGGCTATCATGGATTGGGAGACTCTCCTGGGCTGTGATGAGCCAGCATACACGTGGGCCAAGACCTTACTCTGTCTCACCCCCAGATGTGTCTCTCCCACTGTGCATCAGACGAATATGGTTCCCCTTGCTTACACTGATGCTCACTCAATAGCTCAGGCAGGTTCCCCACAGCCAGATCTTCTAACCCTAGACACAGGCTCTGCCACCATCAGCTGGGGTCTGGCCTCTGAACATCACAGTTTCAGATCCAGGGCTGTGAAACCCTTACAGTGCTCATGTGCCCTCTACCCAACACCAGTATGCATGCAAGCGGACCTTCTTATCGGCCTTGAGCATGGCTTAGGACAAAAACCAGATTGCATGTTACTGTACATCTCCAGAATCCTCTACTTCTTACAGTCCCACCTTGATTTGGTATAGGAGCTCATACCTGGTTTAGTTAAAGGCCCTTCCTCGTTGCAGACGATGCATTCTTTTTCAGAGAATCAAAGGTGTGAAGGCAAACCATTGTTTTTCACACCTTCACATAACCCATCATTTAAACTGAATAAGAATTGTTTGCTAAATTGAAGATGATGCTTAATTTTCCTACACACCATTAAAATAAGGCTAGAATATCATTATATAAAATAATAGTAACAGTATATTGAATAGTCAGTATTGTGTTTATTTTATTTTACTGCAATGAATGCACCACCTTTATCCCCTATTTATCTGTCTTCTTTCCGTGTTGGAAAAGAAGCTTCGGATGGGGTCTTCTCACCACGAATGCACCTGAAGCTCTCCCAGTTCCAGACATTACTGTACTCCCGATACCTCACCACCTCATGTCTTACCACACTTTCACAAGGAGCATGTCCCCCGCTTGAATACGTGACTGCTACCGGTCTCTCCTTCCATCCGCCTCCAGTCCATCGATGGCCCCACCTCTCTCCTGCCTTCGTTAAGTGGCAGACGATCCCCCTTTCTCTGCGCATTGGAGCCACGCAACTGGAAATCATCCAGTTTCTCCTCCTCCAATCTCCATCAGTTCCACTCACCCCTAGTTGCAATTACACAATCCCCACATTTCCTGGAACCCTAATGAACTCACAGCCTGGGGGTCTCAGCGTTTTTTGGGTTTCTCCTACCGTTGCTTCATCAGGAATTCCAGCTCTGTCGCCGCCCCTATCACTGCCCTTACTTGTAAAGGTCCCAGTCTGGGAGCAGATGGATCTCTGAGGCAGACCGCTTCAAATGTCTCATCGCCACAGCCCCTCTTCTCCGGCACCCTGACCCCTCTCTACCCTTTGCCCATGGGGTGGGTGCTTTTCTTTCCCAGCACCAAGGGGACAAGGGTACCCTCCACCCCAGTGCCTTTTTCTCAAGGAGACCTTCACCAGCAGAGATTAAGTTAAGAGGTTATCTTGGGGACAGGGAGCTTCTCGCCATTAAGCTCACCCTTGAGGAGAGGAGGCACTGGCTGGCGGCAGCTCAACATCCATTTACTGTTCCACAGCAAGCCAGGTGCGCCCGGGTGAAATCAGTGGATGGCCTTTCTGTGCCTTGTCATGCCCTTCGCTTTCCACGTAGCGTTGCAACAGTATAGTGTCCCCGTCACTATACTGGGGCATTAGGACCCACACAGACCACAGGGTGAG